TATATGTATATATATATCGCCAAGGGCGAGCAAGACATTGACTCACTGATCCACACCACCAGGATCTACAGCACTGACATTGGGATGTCATTCGGACTAGAGAAGTGTGGTCAGATGGTTACAAAGAGAGGGAAGGTCATCTGCACAGAAGGGGTCTCACTCCCAGAGGGAACAATAGCAGACATAGAGTACAGCTACAAGTACCTAGGAATACCACAAGAAAATGGCAACCTCAATGAGGTCACAAGGAAAGGAGCCACACACAGCCAAATACCTCCAACAAATAAGGCAAGTCCTGAGAAGCCAGCTCAATGGCAAGAACAAGATCCGTGCAATAAACAGCTATGCCTTAYCAGTAATCAGATACCCTGCCGGAATAATTAGCTGGCCAATGGAAGAAATGAAGGCCACGGATGTTAAGACTCGGAAGCTACTAACCATGCATGGAGGGTTCCACCCCAAATCCAGCACCCTGAGACTGTACACAAGCCGTAAGGAAGGAGGCAGGGGACTAGTGAGTGTGAGAGCCACTGTCCAGGATGAAACATCCAAGATCCATAAATACATCAAGGACAAAGCCTCAACGGACGATGTGCTCAGYGAATGTCTCMGGCAATGGGGAACAGAAGAYGAGGTGCTAGAGGTACCATCATGGGAGAACAAGCCCCTACATGGGATGTACCAYCGACAAATAACTGAAGTGGCTGATATCAGGAAATCCTACCAATGGCTGAAAAAAGCTGGATTCAAGAATAGCGCAGAGGCACTTATCGTAGCTGCACAGGAACAGGCCCTAAACACCAGAGCAATAGAGGCTCAGATCTACCACACCAGAAAAGACCCAAGATGTAGGTTGTGCAAGGAGGCCCCTGAGACAGTCCAGCACATAACAGCAGGGTGCAAGATGCTGGCAGGGAAAGCGTACATGGAACGACCTAACCAAGTGGCGGGCATAGTGTACAGGAACATCTGTGCAGAATATGGACTGGGAGCCCCAAGATCGAAGTGGGGAACACCCCCAAAGGTGGTGGAGAATGACCGAGCTAAGATCCTGTGGGACTTCCAGATCCAGACAGACAAGATGGTAATGGCGAACCAACCGGACATTGTGGTGGTGGATAAAGAACAGAGGAAAGCCGTTGTGGTGGATGTCGCAATACCAAGTGACCACAACATCAGGAAAAAGGAGCATGAGAAACTGGAGAAATACCAGGGCCTCAGAAAGGAATTGGAAAAGACCCGGAAGGTGAAGACCACAGTGGTGCCTGTGGTCATCGGGGCCCTCGGGGCAGTCAACCCCAAACTGGAGCAGTGGCTAAAACAGATCCCAGGAASMAMADCAGAYATCTCAGTCCAGAAATGTGCAGTTCTAGGCACAGCTAAGATACTGCGCAGAACCCTCAAGCTCCCAGGCCTCTGGTAGAGGACCCGAGCTCAGAGGATGAAAGAGACCACCCGCGGAGGGTGAGAAGGGAATTTTTTTTAATTTTATATATTCTTGTTGTAAAGAGATGGCTAGAGTTATCTATCAAAACCCCATTTCTCTTTTTCTTCTTCCTTTGTATTAGGTGCAGGAAGCCAGGTCTTGTGTTTCAGGCCTTCATTGTCAAGATCCAGGAAGGTTTCATTTCAGCTAAAAATCACAATGAGTGAGATTTCAGCTGAAAGCTAAACTGTTTTTCTCATACCCCATGGTCATGTGCACAATGGTTTAGTGAGGCTTATTGTTGCAATGAACACCACCTCTTCCCCACTAACAAGAGCAGTTTCCTCATAGAGGAAGCAGGTAATTTAAAATATATATATTTTCTACCCACTATTATTTCTGAAATACGGTGCCTGTCCAGGTACAATGAATAAGAAAAATGTTGTGGCCACAAGATAATTTTCAGCAGCTATGTCACTTTGTGAAAGATATAAACAATGTTATATATGTTGTTTTTGTGTTTACCCGTTCGAAGTTACCACACACTTATTATTTTACTAAAATAGTACAATTATTACTTGGTGTATGTTTAATCTAAACAGCTCATCTTTCATGGAAGGCTATGAAATGGCAATGAACACCCTAGGTGTGTGTCAGGAAACTGATTTTTCACTGTGTTTATGAATGTAACGTAACTTCAACTCCTTCCAGAACAAAGGCATGGCATGAAAGAGGAGCCTGTTCCTAGTGTTTTTTTTTTTTTTGGACAATTACAACTCCAGGTATCAACTGTGTTGTATAGCTGCAGCATAAAGTATTACTTCATGCCAAACTGCAAGTGACTGAAATATGCCATTCATTCTTATATTAATAACATAAAATGAATTCAAACGTGTCCACGTTAATAATCAAGTCTGAATTGAAATGACTGGAATAATTATTGCTTGGAAAAACATTATTTATCTCATGCAATAATGCATGGCCTCAAGATTTTTTTTTATTCAATGTCAACGGCCTCAGTACCGAAATAATAAATACTAATAAAAAATATTCAAAATAGTGTTCCAGTAAAACAAACCTTTTGTTCTTGAAGTTGGGCTTTCACCACTTTGACCTCTGATGATGGAGGTTTTTGATTGGCTGTGAGCTCTTCTATCTCACTGACCCACGTAACCAAAGCTCCCAGGTTCTGAAGAAATGTTTCAGAATCTGTGGACACATTCCTGAGCGGCGAGGCAGATGTCATTTGCTGAGAAAAATACAAATATGAAATACAAGCTAGTGGATTAGATAATGAAAATGAAATTAAAAAATGAATGATGAAATCAAAATAAGTATAGATGATTAATTATACTGCTTCAACATGAAGAGTAGAAAACATGAAGAAGAACTCGCCCAGAGGACCTACTGGTACTTTTTTATTTTTTATATTTTTTGAGTAGAAAACATACCATCCACTTGTCCAAACTAGAATCTTGGCTCGACTTTGAACATTCAACACTTTGGAGCTGCAAAGTAAAGAAATCCAGTGACATGTTAGTTAATAAATTGATGTTGTAGACACACCAACTATCATGTAATGTGGACAAATGATTGAAAGAAATGAAGGTTAGAATTGAAAGTTCAGATGAAACAAAAACAAACTGAAATGAAAAGTCGATGAGATTTTTTATGTTTAAAAATCAGTAGTTCAACCTCAGCCAGCTCCTCTGCAACACCATTCAGCACTCTAACAGTTCTGGTGACTATGGGGTTTCCTCCTTTATCTCCTGGTGGATGTTCTGTTACTTCCACAATTTCTGTAACAATTGTCTCTGTGACCTCAGTCACTTCTGTGACCTCACGTGATGCCACGGTCTTCCAGGACCAGGGGCTTCCTTCTCTGGAGTCTCTTCTCTGGAAGCTACCCCTCCTGTCTGCAGCATTCTTGTCCAAGTGAGCCAGGGGAGATCTGGCAAACTCCGGAGGCACTGTCCTCCTTGTAAGTGTCCCATTTCGGGAGGTTTTTATTGGAGAAGGGCTGTTGTGCCAAGCATTTTCCAGAGTACTGCTACTCCTAATTGTAGACGCTGGAGAGCTCTGAAAGAGTTTACTTGAAATGGGAGTATGAACACTCTCCTCACTTTTATTTTCAATTTCTTGTTCCTCCTTTTCTCTTTCCACCTCTATTTTCTTGTTTCCATCCTCCCCATCTTTGTCTTTAAAATCCTCTTCATTCTTGGCTGCCTCGTGTTGCTCAGCAGGCTGCCACTCCTTCCGTCGCTGGTAGCAGTCCTTTAAGAAGCCCTCATCTGTCCTCACATGTTTGGATTTCTGGCCTAGGCAGCTAGGCCGGCTGATGAGGTTACCCATAATCCTTTAGCCCATAGGCTAGTGAAGTTAGAGATGAGGTAAGGCCCCTTGGCCATTCACACGGATGATATCTCAGCTACCTAAAATAAAACAAGGGGGCTCAGAGTCATCATGCAATTAGAAAATAGTTCATTTGAAAAAATAAAAAATAAAAAATAAAAAACGTTTTGGCCAGCTGTGGCTGAGTGGGTAAGGGAGTTGTACTTTAAACCAAGTTGGCGGTTCAATTCCCCACTATTCAGTAACATGTCAAAGTATCCCTGGGCAAGACACTGAACCCCCACTGTCTCTGATGTGTGTCCTATCAGTGTATGAGTGTGATCTAAATTCTATAGATTATTAGAGAATAGATAGACTGATTCACCTGTTTTATCTTTGTAGAAATCTAATAGGGTTTAAAAATAAATTTCGTGTTTGTTTGCCTTATTACGTGTTTGTAACCAGACAAAAAATGCCCCAATACAATGAATGTTTGAATGTGAAGCCCTGGAACTAGGAAGTGTTGTTACCCATAACAACTTCTTCAGAATCTGACCCCACCTACTAAGTTTGACATCACTGGGGGGGAACATTGTCCTGCTCCAGAGTCAAATCCTCTTGACATAATTCTTTTTTATYTAKTTATTTATTTATTTATTTATTTATTTATTTATTTATTTATTTATTTATTTATTTATTTATTTATTTATTTATTACATTCTGTAACTGTGTGTTGAAAACAGTGGGGTGCGAATGTTTGGGCACCCTTGTTAATTTTCCAGATTTACCTTTATAAATCATTGATTGTTTGGATAAAAAAATATATGTTAAATACAGTATATCATATAGGGGACAAACACAGTGGTATTTGAGAAGAGAAATGAAGTTTATTTCATTTGCAGAAAGTGTGAAACAATTGGTTAAACAAAATTAGGCAGGTGCATAAATTTGGGCACAAAAAAACACCTTAACTCAAAATTTAGTAGATACTCCTTTCGCAGACATAACAGCCTCTAAATGCTTCCTATAGCTTCTAAAGAGAGTCGGGATTGTGGCTGAAGGTATTTTAGACCATTCTTCTTTACAAAACATCTCTAGTTCATTCAGGTTTGATGGTTTCCTAGCATGGATAGCTCTTTTTAAGGGACACCACAGATTTTAAATAATATTCAGATCTGGGTACTGAGATGGCCATTCCAGAATGTTGTACTTGTTCCTCTGTATGAATGTCTTAGTAGATTTTGAGCATTTAGGGTGGTTGTCTTGTTGGAAGATCCAGCCCCGGAGCAGCTTCAGCTTTGTCACTGATTCCTGGATATTGGTCCCCAGAATCTGCTGATATTGATTGGAATCCATGTGTCCCTCAACTTTAACAAGATTCCCAGTCCCTGTACTGGCCACACAGCCTCACAGCATGATGGAACCACCACCACATTTTACTGTAGGTAGCAGGTGTTTTTCTTGGAGCGCTGTGTTTTTTTCCCTCCATGCATAACGGCCCTTGTTAGGCCCTATTTTAGTTTCATCAGTTCACAGCACCTTATTCCAAAATGAAGCTAACTTGTCCAAATGTGCTTTAGCATATATCAAGCGGCTCTGTCTGTGATGTGGGTGGAGAAAAGGCTTCCTCTGCATCACTCTCCCATAAAGCATCTCCTTGTGTAAAGTGTGCTGAATAGTCCAACGATGCACAGTGACTCCATCAGCAGCAAGATGACATTGTTGTTCTTTGTTGCTGGTCTGTGGGTTGACTCTGACTGTTCTCAACATCCTTCGCTTCTGTTTATTCCAGATTTTTCCTGGTCTGTCATGTTGAGCCTTGACTTGAACTGTGCCTGTGGTCCTCCATTTTCTCACGTTTCTCACAGTGGAGACTGAAAGCTGAAATCTCTGAGATAGCTTTCTGTACCCTTCCCCTAAACCATGACAGTGAACAATCATTGTTTTCAGCTCATTTGAAAGTTGTTTTGAGACTCACATGCTGCAACTCTTCAGAGAAGATGCAAAGAGGAGAAAAACTTACAAGTGCCCCCCCCAAATACCCTTTCTCATAACTGGAGTCACCTGTGTATGAAGGTCAAGGGTCACTAAACTTACCAAACCAAATTTGAGTTCCAATAATTACCGGTAGTTCTGAAGGTTTTGAAATCAATAAATTGACAACAGTGCCCAAATTTATGCACCTGACTAATTTTGTTTAACCAATTATTGCACACTTTCTGTAAATCATATGAACTTCATTTCACTTCTCAAATAGCACTGTGTTTGTCCCCTATTTGATATATTTAACTGATTTTTTTAATCAAAAAAATCAATGATTTCTAAAGGTAAATCAGGAAAAATTAACAAGGCTACCCAAACCTACGCACCCCACTGTATGTGTTCAGGCATGTAACTACTTATACTGTACACTTCCTGCTCTGGGTGACCATAGCATCCAGCCATCTAGACCAGTCTGTACATAAAATCATCAAATTAATCGCAGAAATAATCACACAATAGTTTATAACACTAATACTGTATCATGTTTCTTCAGAGTGCTGTGTGAATGTGTTGATGAATGGGTAAATGAGGACACAGATTGTAGTGTAAAGAGCATTGTGTATCCTGGTTGGATAGAAAAGTGTTATATAAGTACAGACAATTTACCATTTTAATATTCAAAATGTTCTTTATGATCGTCACTCGGTCAATGCCAAATCTCCAGAATAGTACCATAATTAGAAATGATTGTTTCATATCTTTCATGTGCAAAACTTTGGCCCACTGTTCCATTGGCATTAAAAGATCACAGGAACTTACAAAACAGCAATTTAGCCAAGCTCTTCCCATAATTTTTATTCAAGCACATGCGCACCCACACACACAAACACACACACACACACACACACACACACACACACACACACACACACACACACACACACACACACCCCAACCCACCCCACCCCCGCTATCCCACATCAACTGCATTATCAGGGGCTTCAAAATCAATGTGACAGGCTTGTCAGGAACCCCAGTGTTGAGACTGGCACAGAAAAAAACAGAGGCAAACAGCCAACTCTTTCTGTAACTCAGCTTGGACTAGTCCTGGGAAAACTCCTTTGGGATCTGATCAAGTATGGTAGCCATAAAATTTAGATATTGCCTAATTTTTTTCTAGGTTGTCAACAAGAGGGATGAATGAAAAAACAACAGAATTGGCTAGGTAAACAAAAATAATTAGCAAACTTTGTGACTCAGGTACTTGTTGATAAATGCTTTTGCTTGTAGGTCAGCAATTTCAGTCTGTAGGACTATTTTAATTACATCCCACAAGTAGGCCTGCCACAGTAATTTTTGCTGGATGATAAATTGCAATGAGCAATAAATTTGTTTGGAGACACATGCACACCTATGGAAGTTCATGAAATTTATTTACATAAAAAAAGATATCAATTGACCTGGATCTGAGACTGGGAAAACAACACACAACAGTTGCTGAAGCTGTAGAACTGCTTCTCACCTCATCCATTTATCCTGGAAATGTGCTTTTAACACCATCCAGCCAGAACTTCTGTGGGACAAGCTGGAGCTCTCTGGAGTGGACCACCACATGTCCCAGTGGATACTGGACTACCTCATGGATTGTCCACAGTGCTTGAGTACACAGGGCTGTGTCTTGGACACGCTGGTCTGCAGCACGGGGGCCCCGTCTAATTTCATCTTGACAGTCTGGTACAGTAATTATTACTCTTATTTTTATTTTATTCTATATTTATTTTTATTGTTATTACTACAGTTGATGATGTCACATAGCAATATACTGTTTCTGTGGATTGATGTATGTACAGTATCTGCTGCTGCTATTACATCTGAATTTCCCTGCGTGGACAATAAAGGCTGTTTCTATTCTATTCTATTCTATTCTATTCTATTCTATTCTATTCTATTCTATTCTATTCTAATGTCTTCCTCTTGCTTCATAAAATAAATGGTCACCCTTACGCAATTTATGAAACAGTATAATATACATAAAGTTATGGACAGACTGGGAGAAGAGCTCATTAAAACAACACACAACAACAGCTACTAAAACTGTAACACCCCTACCCACCTCCAGCCAAGCCGGCATGATTTATTCTTTATCTGTCTTCCTCTAGCTTCATAAAATAATTGCAGTCACCTGCACGCTGCTTACAAAGTTTAGTAAATTTACATAGTGTAAAAAAACAACTCTTGGCAAACCCATGATTTGGCACAGTGCCCTGAGGACATCCTGAGGCATCGCAACTTAAAAGAAGGTGGGGCTCTAATGCTACAGAAGTTAACTTACAAGACCATGCACCTGGCAAATATCTGATGGGAGAATTACCTCCTGCCTTTGTTAAGGAGTAGAAAAGAGAGGGAAACAGAGACAACAAACAAGCAGGAAAATTAAAATTATCGACCCCATTTTAATTTATCAAATGCACAAGCAAATTGTTGCAGAGCTACAGTAAGATGTTGCAGTTGTGTTGGCTGATTAAAATCTGCTGGACATGCAACTGGCTTATACGTTGCCTGAGGTTAGACAAAGAAACTCTGCACCAACAGAAAATTTCCCTAAGTGCTACTGCCAAAGTCCCCCCTAAATTTGAATGAAATCAAATTTTGTTGTATAATTATAACACAAATTAAAATCTATAATAAAAACAAGTAACTCAATGATCCAAATGTGACCCACTTTGATATCATCACTCCATGTGCATTAGGAATTACTTACATCATGCATGTCTGCTGAGCAGATGATGCAGTCCAGAGGTCCACGGGGGAGTACAGATCAGAGTAGTGCCCAAACAAAGCCTCTGCCTCAGGATCAATGATTACCCAGTTAGCTCAGATCACTGGCCTGCAGTCTCTAGAGGAGAGCAGAGGGTCTGTGCCCATCAGCTAACAATTTAGCTGTGTCTGGTTACTATAACACATGTGAGGCCATTTACTGAATTTCACAGTTTTCTCTACATTGATCTCACGACATACACAGAGACATAGTAAGCAGTATACATATGCAGTGATTTAGGAATGAGAGAGTATTCCATTTAAATACATTGTACACAGGTATGTTCTGTTTCATGATGTGAAATAAACCCATCCTATTGCTGATATAAAGAAAGCGAAAACAATGGCAACTCAGTA